AACTTCATTTTGCTTAGATCCACAATTATCACTCATGGAAGTAGCAAGAAATTTAAAAACACATGGTATTAGGCAAATAAATATGCTGCAAAAGACCTATTTATTTTGTTAAAGAGCAAAGATGTTGGCTTGATGACTAAGGTGTGCCTGATCTAAACTATGGTATTTTCAATTGTCTCATTTACATATGAAAGTTGGACAATGGATAAGGAAGACCAGAGATGAGTTGATGCTTTTGAATTATGGTATTGGAGAATATTGAAAGTACCATGGACTATCAAAAGAACAAACAAATCTGTCTCGGAAGAATGCTCCTTAGAATCAAGGATGGGAAGACTTGGTCTTAAATTCTTTTTAACACAATGTCAGGAGGGGCAAATCCCTATAGAAGGATATCATGCATTTTAAAGTGGAGGGTCAGTGAAAAAGAGGAAAACCTGCAGTGAGATGGATTGAAACAGTGCAACAATGGAGTCAAACATATCAACAATTCTGAAGACTGTGCAGGACTGGGCAGTGTTTCTTTTTGTTGTATTTAGGGTTACTATGAGTCAGAATCGACTAGATAGCACATAATAATAACAACTTATGCGTATTGTTCAACAGTATATATTTATAAACCTTTTAATATTACTTGTGTATCAAAAGTATGCACCATCCTCCTAGTTTGTCTGTTTGTTATACTGTGATTTCTTGCATGTTGTTATGATACTGTAAACTATGCCACAAATATTTAAAATATCTATGATAGTCAGGTTTCAGCAGAGTTTCCAGACTAAGACCTACTAAAAAGAAAGGCCTGAAAATCTACTGTTAGAAATTAACAATGGTACACACCCTGTGGGACACAACAGAAAACATAATGATAAAATGTGAGCCCTCTAAGTTCAAAGGCTTACTCAAAAATAACAAGACCACAACAACGCACTAAGCATATCAATTATAACAAAGATGATGAAGACCAGGAAAGGTTTCATACTGTTGTATATGGGGCCTCAAATTGCAGATGACTCACAGCAATTAACAGCAAACATAGAGGATGCATAGGAAGAACAGAGTGTAATTGGAAAATAAAGTTCAATTTTCACAATATTGGGTTCACCATATATGAGGGGATTTAACAAAATGGGTGGAAAAATGGAATTTTTAAAAAAACAATAAGCAAATGCTTACCAAAAAAAGGTGATTAGATAACTAATTTTATTTCTTGATCTTATAAAAGTATTTTGTAAAAACACTGTTTCACCCTCCTAAATATGTCTGAGATGCTGCTTGATTTTACTTTTCTGTTACAAATATTGGCTCATCATATTTGACATATCCCACAGAAGTAGACACCAAGTAACCACCATTGTCTGTCTGTCAGCTGTGTGCTAAGTGGAAAAACAGCTCAGTTACCCTTGTCCTTCTTGCTGAATGAGAGGAAGGCCTTCATCCTCATACCTCCATTTCCTGTTATGATCGTCAAGTGAGGCCAGTGTTTCATCAAAACCCTCCAATCAGCACCTCATTCAATCATTGAGCAGCAGGTTTTGTATTTCTCTGATCTCAAGTTCTACCCCTTCTTTCCCTCACCTTCTGTGTCTTCACCTCTCTCCAATCCTATCAGTGCTACAGAACCTGTTCATCATCTGCATCATCCTTTATACTCTTCCCATGCAAAAAAGCTCTTGCTGATTGTATAGCCCTTCCTCACTTGCATTTCAGGTTTTGTCTGTTCTGCCTCTATCAGACTTCACCTATTCTCATTCATGGTAATTCCACAACACTATGAAAAATCCATGGCTTCATCTTACTGTGTTGTTGTTGTTAAGTGCCGTCGAGTCGGTTCCGACCCATAGCGACCCTGTACAGGGTTTCCGAGGGTGTAAATCTTTACGGGAGTAGAAAGCCTCATCTTTCTCCCGCGGAGCGGCTGGTAGTTTCGAACTGCTGACCTTAAGGTTCACAGCCCGATTCGTAGCCACTACGCTAGACAGTGAAATTTTATGGTCTATTCAGTTCAGTCTTTCTTTGACCTGTACTCATAATTTCATACATCTCTGTATTCTCACTAGCATATTCTCCATCAGATGTACCCAAAGTGTCTGTATTCCTTTCACTGCAGATCCATGTTAGCCCTTTAGTTCCAGAAGATAATCTCACCTCTACATTTTTTCAATAGAAACCAAAGCCAGGTGGTAGGAAGTTCCGTAACTTCTCTCCATGTTTCACAAGTTTCCGCTATGGTTTATCTTCACTCCTCTTCTAGCACATGAACAATTACCCACCTTTTTCAGAAATAACCTTTCCATTTGGGTTCTTTCTCTGCCTCTTTCCAGATCTGGATCCCACCATTTTTCTTCTTCCTTTGAACATTCAATATATTCCCTTTCATCCTATCAGTCTATAACCACCTTCAATTATTTCTCCTTTCACACTAACAGACACACACACACAGAGTTTCTCTTCTATCTCCATTTCATTGTCAAGTTTCCAAACATCAGAATGTATCTGCTTAATATTTAAACCCTTTAAAACTTCTTCTGATTGTCATCCCTACAAGTTCCACTGAACAAACTCTCTGAAACGTTATTAACCAAGTTCCTGTAATTCTATCTTCTTGATGACTTCAGAATATTTGACAATTTTTTTCTGCTCCGTTCTTCTTGAAATTCTGTCTTTTCTGTATTTCTGTGCTATTATCATCCTGCATTATGACCTGCAGCATCTCTGTCACCTTTCCACCATTTGGTTTTTAGCTTTCTTCTTTTGTTTGACTGAACCATACAAGACCTTACATACCAACTAGCTGAATCTATCATTCTTATTAATTTTGGGGTCATTGTGGTGGTTGTTAAGTGCTGTCTAACTCATAGCGATCCTGTATACAGTTCCCAAGAAGTGGATGGTGAATTTGAACTGCCAACCATGAGGTTCCAACAGACCTTACTTATCTTACAGCACCACACCAGGACTAAGGTTTGGGTTAAATCTATGGTTTTATACATGACTGCTCTAAGGAACTCATCTCTCTAGTTTTATGACTCCTACTGCAATTCTATGTATGTGTGGACCAAATCCATCAGATCGGAACTAGGATCTTGCCCTTCCTTGAAAATTATTGTTCCTCTTGATTTCTTTCTTAAAATGTCATTAGTACCATACTGACCGATGTTATTCATTCTAAAAAAAGTTCATATTTTAGATCCTGTTAAGTTTTTCTATATGTATGTTTAGTAAATAAATTTTTGAATTCTTTCCTACCCCCTTTTCTTGAGTCCCTGTAGCCAGCCTTTGTAACTCTCTGAACTTTTTCATTTATCTCACTGGATTCATCCTCTAAATTCTAACAGGCTAAGTGATTACAACCTGACCAATCTCTTTTAATGTATGGCTTCCAGATGATTCTATGTAACATACAAATATTGCTTTGATTACATCATTTGCATTTCCATACACAGAAAAAGACTCTCTGTTGTCTGCTGTATAAAGTCCATATACTTTATCCTATTAGTCAAAACCAACCAGAATTTGGCACAAGATGATATTCTCAGAAATATCTACTATAATCCCTTAAAACTCACCTTCACAGTGAAGCAAAACTGAACTCCTCAATACAACCTGAGCACACACTATGATTTTTCTGCATTGTTATTATTAATAGCAGTATCCCAACTTCAGCCAAACTTCTTCCCATTGTTGAAGGTCCAGTGTTAACAATTCCCAGAATCAATAGTGGAATTCTGACTTTAGCCAAAGTTCTTCTCATTATCGATGGTCCAGTGATAACAATTCCCTTAATGAAGCATGCTCTATCAATATCTGACAGAAATGATTTTCCAGTTTGATATTGTGGAAATAGCAAAAGCTTTGTTGTCCACTAGACCTAGAGCTGAACCATAATTTCATTGCTGAATTATCTCAGAGCCACAGCTGATAGGTAATTTCTCATCAATTTCCTGATCAGTGAAAGGTGCAAATATTGTCACCTTACAAACAGGATATGTGACATTAATGAGAACATAGATATAGAATATCTATTGTACTCTGTCATATTTCACACCCATCAATAATACCCCCCTGCTATCTTTCATCTAAATGAATCTCTCTACTTCTTTTGCATTATTTTTATGCATACACATTTTTATATTACTTGTTATATTCCAAAATAATTACAGAGCCACAAATAATTAAAATAATTGTATATAAAAAAATGGTAGAGAAGGGAAATAAATGTGAAAACCTGACATAAGTTTGGAATAAAACAACAACATTTGGGATATTTGTGTAGTATTTATTTCTATTTGAATTAATGTTTCAATATTTTATAAATAAACTAGGATATGATCTATTGTTGCTCATATTCTTGTTTTCTTTTTTTTTAATAAACTGAATGAATTTGCTACAGTAGAACTTATCCTATCCAAGTAAAACATATAAACATTCCTATAAACCAAAAAGTTAACTCTGCATACAGTTAACATAAACCTGTATCATTTACCAAAATAAGAAAACAAAGAGAGTGAGTCAGCAGTCAATATAGATAATTTGAGAGTTATGTGTTCAGCATCAATTAAATTGTGATGTTCGCCTTAATAATAGTAGTCTGTATTTTTATAGTAATAGTCCATATAATAATATCTTCTAAGTACAGGGTCGCTATGGGTCGGAACCGACTCGATGGCACTTAACAACAACAACAACAAAATTGAAATTATCCTTTATTCTATAATATTGAGGACATGAAGTAAAGTAATTTTAAAAGAAAATTTCAAGTTACTTTTATTCCCTCATTTTATGAATGAGGTAAGAGTTTCAAGATGAAGACCTAAAATAGCACATAAATAGATACAAATTGAGCCTACAGTGTCATTAACATATATCTATTAATTGAATGATCAAATAGAAACCTTCCCATCTTTCTTCACATTCCTATTCAGTCTTCTCTACCTTTTTCACTTTTAAAAGTATTGTCTTATGAAAATCATAAATTATAATGAATGAAAATATAGCATTACCGTATTGTCTCCAGTCTGTAGAAGGGGGTAAGTGTTTCCACAAAATAAGATTGTTTAGATGATTTAAGTAGGAAGGTAGTGAATGAAAACCCTTCTGATTATACCACACCTAAAAAAGAAAGATAATTTAATGTCTCTCAAAAAAAGTAGCTCTTCAGCATATTTGTTAGCGAGACTTGGACCAATAAAATACATATGTCAATTAGTTTCATCAGTACCTGAATACAAAACTCAAAATAATTTGCCTTCCTAGCTGATAATGAACAGTAAATTCCAGTCTTCCAATTATATATTTCTTTCAAGCATATATTTGTGCCTAAAAATAGATTTATTTTTCCTATAAAAATGTGAATGTTACTATATAATTATATTTTCTGAGGTAAAAAGGAACCCAAGCCCACCATATTTTTTTCTTCCTCAGTTAGGAAGCTAATGCAATTTGACTTGCAAATTAAAAGCATGGAGTATCATGAGAAAAAAAAAAAAAAAAAAAAAGATTACTTTCAAGTTAATAACTGAACATGGAACATTATTTCTCAAAATAGATTGAACTGAACATATTCTGAGCATGCCTGTCACACAGGAGAAAAATAAAGGAGAAAATAGAAAAAAGATAATGTTATTAAAGTCGGCATAACAAGGATTGTAAAAAATACTAACTGAACCATCATAAACAGTCTAAAAATATCAATATTTTAAAGAAAAGTAGGAAAAAAGTATTCAGTTTATAAAATAGTGAGTCAAATGACAGATTTTTTGTCTTAATGTTGTCTGTTGTAATAGATAATTCCTTTATAGAATTAGAACTACTTCACACAAACAATGAATGTTTGAAGAAACCTATTTTGAGCATACCAGAGTACTGGGGATCAATATTCTGAAGCGTCCTTGAAGCCTTTGTATCCACTGAGGGTCACTCAGCATTATTCTTTCAGTGACCTTAACAAAGGGTGTCTCGTCATTCTATGGCCATCTTTCAATATTTGCCTAGAGCTCTCCATGCCCTATTCAATGATTTATTGTTGCTGTTAGGTGCATTTGAGTCAGTTCTAACACACAGCAACCCTATTCATAACAGAATGAAACACTGCCTGTTCCTACACCATCCTTACAATGATTGTTAGGCTTGAGCACATTGTTACTGTCATAGTGTCACTCTATCTCCTTAAGTGTCTTCACATATTTTGCTGATCTTGCACTTTACCATGTATGATAGCCCAAACCAAGAACGGATCATCCCAAACAACCTGTCCAAAGTATAAGAGATGAAGTCTTGACAATTTCTAGTCTAAGGAGCATTCTGGTTGTACTTCCTCCAAGGCAAATTTGCTTATACTTCTGGCAGTCCATGGTACTGTCATTATTCTTTGCCAACACCAAAATCCAAAAGTATTGATTCTTCTTTTATTGATTCTTTTTCATGCATT